GCCTTTGATTTCTTTTTGTTGTCTGATTGCTGTGGCTAGGACTTCTAATACTATGTTGAATAGCAGTGGTGATGGTGGACATCCCTGCCGTGTTCCTGACCTTAGGGGGAACTCTCTTAGTTTTTCCCATTGAGAATGATACTCGCTGTGGGTTTTTCATAGATAGCTTTTATGATATTGAGGTATGTACCCTCTATCCCTATACCCTGAAGAGTTTTGATCAAGAAAGGATGCTGTACTTTGTCAAATGCTTTTTCTGCATCTATTGAGAGGATCATATGGTTCTTCTTTCTTTTATTGATGTATTGTATCACGTTGATTGATATGCAGATGTTGAACCAACCTTGCAGCCCAGGGATAAGTCCCACTTGGTCATAGTGAATAATCCTTTTAATGTACTGTTGGATCCTGTTGGCTAGTATTTTGGTGAGAATTTGTGTATTCATGTTCATCAAGGATATTGGTCTGTAATTCTCCTTTTTGATGGGGTCTTGGTCTGGTTTTGGGATCAAGGTAATGGTGGCCTCATAAAACGTGTTTGGAAGTTTTCCTTCCATTTCTATTTTTTGGAACAGTTTCAAAAGAATAGGTATTAATTCTTGAAATGTTTGGTAGAATTCCCCTGGGAAGCCATCTCGCCCTGGGCTTTTCGTTTTTGGGAGATTTTTGATGACTGCTTCAATTTCCTTAGTGGTTATAGGTCTGGTCAGGTTTTCTGTTTCATCCTGTTTCAGTTTTGGTAGTTGATACATCTCTAGGAATGCATCCATTTCTTCCAGATTATCTAGTTTGCTGGCATATAGTTGCTCATAATATGTTCTAATTGTTTGTGTTTCTTTGGTGTTGGTTGTGATCTCTCCTCTTTCATTCATGATTTTTTGATTTGGGTCATTTCTCTTGTTATTGATTGAGAGGGGTTCTCTGTGCCTCTCCTGGATTTTGATGCCTGTTTCCATCCCCAAATTAGGCAAGTTCTCTGCTATAATTTGCTCCAATATACTTTTTGCCCCTCTCCTTTTTTCTTCTTCTTCTCGGATCCCAATTATTCTAATTTGTTTTGTCTTATGGTATTGCTCATCTCTCGAATTCTTCCCCGTGATCCAGTAGTTGTTTATCTCTCTTATTCTCAGTTTCTTTATTTTCCATCATTTGATCTTCTATATCACTAATTCTCTCTTCTGCCTCATTTATCCTAGCAATTAGCGCCCCCATTTTTGACTGCACCTTATTAATAGCCTTTTTGATTTCGACTTGGTTAGATTTTAGTTCTTTTATTTCTCCAGAAAGGGTTTCTCTAATAACTTCCATGCTTTT